GAGGAATTAGGCAACTCTTCCATTATGGAAAAAAGTTCCTTGCAGAAGGATATGATAAAGTAGTAGATGGTTATAAGCACCTTTTCATCAACAGAACACATCTAGGATTCTCTTTCTTGCGTATTGTGCTCCCAGTGCAAATGGATTACACTCCCTTAGCTCTTAAAGACTTTTCACTCCCTGAGGCAATAGTAAAGTGAGACACACACACTGGTCATTATTGCACACAACCAGTTCCCACTGTCTTGAGACTCAAATTGGAAAACAGTAGCAATGCTCTGCCACCCTTTGTCCACAGCCTCCCTCCCTTTATGCCCAAATGAGTTGCCATTAAAAGTAGATTGGGCAGATTTTATAACGTAATCACCCTTCTATGCTTTGGCCAGTAGTGTAAATATCAACATTATACATAGGGCTCTTCGTTTTCAGTTTTTTGTTTTAATTTGCCAGGAATTTATCAGTGTTTATTCAAAATTTAAAAAACAGTGAAAAATGGGTAAAAGCTGAAAATGAAGGGCAGCGGGTGGTGGGAGAGGGGTGCTCGGTACCCACAGTATGCAGGGGGCAGGTGGTCTCAGCAGCACGGACCTGGACCCCTGCCTGTCTTCCTCCCTCACTGTGAAGAGGAAGATGGTGCCAGGATGAAGGGCCAGGGAAGCTGAAAGCTCCACTCCATGAGTACTGGACCCCCTGCCAGACAGAGCCCCCTCCCGATCCTAAGCCTTCAGCGTGGCCCCAGAGCCCTATTTGCTTCACTTGCCAGCCAGAGTCCCCTCCTGACTCCACCAGTAATCAGAAGATGCAGCCTTCCACTCTCCTCCTGACCCCTGCCTGTCAGCCAGGGGAAGCAGATGGGGCCCTGCTGAAGGGCCAGGGTCAGGAGGGGCTCTGTCCAGAGCGGGCCAGTACTCAGTGCAGTCTTCTGGTCCCCTCCTAACACCGGCCTTTCAGACCGTGTCCGCTTCTTCGGTGCAATGGGGGAGCGAGATGGGCAGGGAGCTCAGATAGCCCAACCACTGCAGTAACAGGCCTCCACGGAGCAGAAGCGCTGCACCCCATGAGAACTGGCCCCCCCGCCACACAGAGCCTCTTCTGGCCCCAGCCTTTCAGTGCAGTCCCATCCACTTCCCCTGTAAAAAATTCCTGGGTCCAAGCTAAAACAGTAAAATTGATAAAACCCAAATACTGACTTTGTCAAAACCCTGGGAATTTTTCAGAGAGAATTTTTTGCAAATACCAAAAATGAAGGGCCTTGATTATAAACTAAGTGTTATCATTAAGCTTCAGAGTTACTACCCCTTAAAATGAAGTGGGGCATTTAAAAGCAGTTTTTCAGGCTGCCTGCAATCTCAGGCAGACATACTAGCCCTTATGACTTGAAGAAGAGGTAAAAAGTGCTTTTTTTTTTTTTTTAAATATAAGCTTATATTCTGGAGCACAAGATACAGCCAAGATTTGTGTTTCTGGTTTCTCCTTCTCTTTCATCATATGGACAATTTTAGCAATGTCTCAAACACCATTCCAGGACTGCCTGTTCATATGATTGATATAAAAAAATTGCAAGCTGTTATGAAAGCTATTTTTGTTGGATAAAAAGTCATCAACTTAAAGGGTTTCCTGCCCTTTATCTGAATAGTGATGTCGTCAAAATGACAGCATTATGGATCCTGCACCCAACTTTTATAGGCTTGAGTAACATGGATAAAATACATTAATCACTATGTAGTGCGACAAATTGGAAAAAACAATTTACTGCAAGTCATAGAGACATATATAAGAACATAAGAACGGCCCCACTGAGTCAGACCCAAGGTCCATCTAGCCCAGTATCCTGTCTTCCGACAGTGGCCAGTGTCAGGTGCCCCAGAGAGAATGAATAGAACAGGTAATCATCAAGTGATCCACCCCCATCGCTCATTCCCAGCTTCTGGCAAACAGACGCTAGGGACACCATTCCTGCTCATCCTGGCTAATAGTCATTGATGGACCTAGCCTCCATTCATTTATCTAGTTCTTTTTTGAACCCTGTTATGGTCTTGACCTTCACAACATCCTCTGGCAAGGAGTTCCACAGGTTGATTGTGCGTTGTGTGAAGAAATACTTCCTTTTATTTGTTTTAAACCTGCTGCCTATTAATTTCATTTGGTGACCCCTAGTTCTTGTGTTATGAGAAGTAGTAAACAACACTTCCTTATCTACTTTCTCTACACCAGTCATGATTTTATAGACCTCAATCATATCTCCCCTTAGCCCACTCTTTTCCAAGCTGAAAAGTCCCAGTCTTATTAATCTCTCCTCAGACGGAAGCCGGTCCATACCCTTAATCATTTTTGTTGCCCATTTCTGAACCTTTTCCAATTCCAATATATCTTTTTTGAGATGGGGCGACCACATCTGCACACAGTATTCAAGCTGTGGGTGTACCATGGATTTATATAGAGGCAACATGGTATTTTCTGTCCTATTATCTATCCCTTTCTTAATTATTCCCAGCATTCTGTTTGCTTTTTTGACTGCTGCTGCACACTGAGTGGATGTTTTCAGAGAACTATCCACAATGACTTCAAGCTCTCTTTCTTGACTGGTAACAGCTAATTTAGACCCCATCATTCTATATGTATAGTTGGGATTATGCTTTCCAATGTTCATTACTTTGCATTTATCAACATTAAATTTCATCTGCCATTTTGTTGCCCAGTCACCCAGTTTTAAGAGAGCCTTTTATAGCTCTTCACAATCTGCCTGGGTCTTAACTATCTTTAGTCATATTGTATCATCTGCAAATTTTGCCACCTCACTGTTTACCCGTTTTTCCAGATCATTTATGAATATGTTGAATAGTACTGGTCCCAGAACACACACCTGGGGGACACCACTATTTACCTCTCTCCATTCTGAAAACCGACCATTTATACCTACCCTTTGTTTCCTATCTTTTAACCAGTTACCAATCCATGACAGCACCTTACCTTTTATCCAGTGGCAGCTTACTTTGCGTAAGAGCCTTTGGTGAGGGACCTTGTCAAAGGCTTTCTGAAAATCTAAGTACACTATATCCACTGGATCCCCTTGGTCCACATGCTTGTTGACCCCCTCAAAGAATTCTAGTAGATTGATGAGGCATGATTTCCCTTTACTAAAACCATGTTGACTCTTCCTCAACAAATTATGTTCATCTGTATGTCTGACAATATTGTTCTTTATTATAGTTTCAACCAGTTTGCCCGGTACTGAAGTCAGGCTGACAAAACCTCCTCTAATGATACCTCAATCTGGGACAGTTCCTCAGATCTGTCACCTAAAAAGAATGGCTCAGGTTTGGGAATCTCCCTCACATCCTCAGCCAGGAAGACTGATGCAAAGAATTAATTTAGTTTCTCCGCAATGGCCTTATCGTCCTTGAGTGCTCCTTTAGCACCTTGATCGTCCAGTGGCCCCACTGGTTGTTTAGCAGGCTTCCTGCTTCTGATGTACTTAAAAAAAAAAGTGCTCTTTGAGTCTTTGGCTAACTGTTCCTCAAATTCTTTTTTGGCCTTCCTATTTGCCATTTTTATACTTCATTTGCCAGTGTTTATGCTCCTTTCTATTTTCCTCACTAGGATTTAACTTCCACTTTTTAAAGGATGCCCTTTTGCCTCTAACTGCTTCTTTTACTTTGTCTGTTCTCTTACTGTGTTTTTTAATTTGGGGTATACATTTAAGTTGAGCCTCTATTATGGTGTCTTTAAAAAGTTTCCACGCAGCTTGCAGAGATTTCACTTTTGGCACTGTACCCTTTAATTTCTGTTTAACTAACCTCCTCATTTTTGTGTAGTGCCCCTTTCTGAAATTAAATGCTACAGTGTTGGGCCGCTGTGGTGTTTTTCCTGTCACAGGGATATTAAATTTAACTATATTATGGTCACTATTACCAAGCGGTCCAGCTATATTCACCTCCTGGACCAGATCCTGTGCTCCATTTAGGACTAAATCAAGAATTGCCTCTCCTCTGGTGGGTTCCAGGACCAGCTGCTCCAAGAAGCAGTCATTTAAGGGGTGTCAAGAAACTTTATCTCTGTATCCCATCCTGAGGTGACATGTACCCAGTCAATATGGGGATAATTGAAATCCCCCATTATTATTATTGAGTTTTTTATTTTAATAGCCTCTCTAATCTCACTGAGCATTTCACAGTCACTATCATCATTCTGGTCAGGTGCTCGGTAATATATCCCTACCGCTATATTGTTATTAGAGCATGGAATTACTACCCCTCTTACTATATCTTTCCCCCCTCCTCAAATATTCCCCACCTTTAGATCCAAATTGTTTGGTTAAATTAACACAGGAAATGCTTGATCCACCACTGAATACAGGCACCTCTGGTGTATTCAGTTGATTCAATTTAACACTGCACAAGATTACACTACAGCTTAGGACAGAATGTGAAGACCACGCTAGAGACTTTTAGGTAGATAGGATGTAAGTTTGTAGTTTGGGTAGGATATTTACAACTTTTAAATCAAGCCCAGGTGAGGGTTGATTGCTAGCAATTACCATCTGATGACCCTTCAGTGGCCTACATTAAATGAATTGGTTTCAGTCCAGTCCTTAGTGGACCAGTGTCACTGCCACAACCAGAGTATTAACCACCACCCTTGTTGGGCAGCCTCAGCAGACAGGCCAAGAATTGAATTGGAATGGAAGCCGAGTTCTCTTACCTGTAGAGGTGGTCTCTGTAGAGTAGAGAGGAGGTAGATGGACAAAGCAAGTTGCACTGCTGCTTTCTCTGTTATATCTGTTTTATGACAGAGAATTTAAGAGTGCCTCGCCTTGTCAAGTTGGCACCTTCTGACAATACTTATAAAAACTCATATGAAAAAAGCAAATATATACAATTATATAGTGAAAATTAATTCTTCACCTTTTTCTCCCACTCACACAAAGAAGGAAAAAGCAACCTGACCTATAAGACATTTCAGAACAACTCAACAGATAAAAAGGCAGAGGGACATCTGGCTATAAATCACATCTTTATTAAGATATTTAACAGGCACAATGGGGAATGAGTGGATTAACTGGAAATCTTAAAGGCCATTTCAATAATGTACCGTGTCAGTCCTTCATCGATAACTTTGACAGTTCTAGTCCTGAACACATTCCTCTCTTCAATGAATTTCTCAAAGATATGCACACCACCTCCCACCCCAAAATAATGTGCTTTGCTAGCCAAATACACGCGGCCATTTTTATCCAACAGTTTAGAAATCGTATCATGCAAAGCACTGTAATAGTCAGGATTGTAGATGGTCTCGGATGTGAGAATAAGATCATACTTTGAAAAGGGTTTGTTGCCACTTAACAGGAGTTGGCTAAACTCAGCCCATTCTCCAGAAAAAAATCTGCACTTAGACATTAGAGCTGGTATGAAGTCTGCTTTCTTGTGCTTCTTTGAAGGAGGTTCACTAATTCCGCCATCACCACCACCATCAGTACAGTTAGCCACTACATTAGGCAAGGTTATTTCATCAATCACAGTGTGGTTATAGTCCTGAAAGTGGACTTTTTTAGCTTTTCTCTTTAATGCAAGTATTCCCAGCAGCCCAGCCCCACAACCAAGATCCAAGACTGTCTTGTTGATAAACTGCATTTCAGCCTCTGACAAATAATCCATGAGATCAAAAGTGCATTCCCATATTTTCAGCCCCCCTTCATAGATGCCTGTGATAAGATCAGAGTGAGAAGAAATACTTTTAGACACTATGTCTTCTTCATGGGAGTCATTTGAAAGGGTCATTTCCACCACAGAAATATTTACATAGTATAGGCCCTGTACAGCTTCCATAACTTTATTTTCTAACACTTTGCTGAAATCTTCAGGAATATTATGCTCTTTGGCAACTTTAAAGCTGGCTCGTTTCTTTGGCAGCACCTGGACCGGGCTACAGTTTGCTACTGGATCTGAAGTTTTGGGTGTTGCCTCATGTGCACACAGAGACTCCTTGTGCACAACGTTTTCTTCTGATGAAATTTCTTTGCTCTTTTCTGTAGATCCGCCTGGGTTCAAAGAAGCCTGTGCAGATTCCAGCTGCAAGGCTGTATCACCAAGAGTCTCGAGTTCATTTCCTGCTTTCTCTTCAATAGAGAAGTTAAACTGAAAAGCCATTTTCCTATGAAGTACGAAAAAAATAAATCACAGCTTATATCCAAAGTTACAATAGGGCAGACACTCATCCAATGAAACTGTTAATATAAATGTGATTTTTCTTCTATGGCTTGTGCAGATAAGAACTTGCTCCCTGGCTGTAAGGTTGCTCTGCCATAGTTAAAAGCTGTCTGCAAAGATCTTTACATTAGTTATCACTATGAAAGCCTCTACTTTGCAGGTATAATGTCCACTTTCTCTGCAAATTCATCTGTTGAATTCTATAAAAAGAGAATATATGTCAAATATCACATTTCATTAAATTGAAAGATAAATACTTTGCGCTTGTATCTATCCAAAGGACAACATAAGTTACAAATATTATCTAATGCCACCTTGTAACATCCCTTTGAGGTAAGCAATTATTACTATTCCCATTTCACAGAGGAGAAAACAAAAGACAATTAAGGGATTTGTGAAAGGTAATGCAGGAAGTGAATGGCAGAGTTGAGTAAAGTCTGGTCTCCTGAATAATTTAATCTTGTGCTTTAGTCACAGCCTTCCTCCTTGCAAAGCACACCGACAAGTTCAAGAAGATATAAATCGCTTGCCTACAGGAAACTAAAAGTTCAAATTTGATTGTCCGACAAGAAAATGTGATTGTTCCAAATTTCAGACTGTGGTCTCATTCTCGTCTGTAAATTAAAAGATTATTGCTCTGCATTCTACTTGCTCTATTTTGAACGACTATGCCAGGGTTTCTCCTGTTCTTTTTCAGGGCATCTGATTCTCACTTGGTATTATATGTTTGGTTTTGTCCTCACTTTAAAATAAAAGTGACACCATCAGTTGGAAACTGTGCCAGAAATGAGAATTTCCAATTTGAATAAAAATTCTAATATCTAAATAATATTATGGCTCATATTCATATCCATCTAGTTTGAAAACTAGATCCAACCACACAGACTGGCACTACTCTAGTTCTCCACTTGCACCGCCTGCAGTAGGGTGACCAGATGTCCCGATTTTATAGGGACAGTCCCGATTTTGGGGTCTTTTTCTCATATAGGCTTCTATTACTCCTCACCCCCTGTCCCGATTTTTCACACTTGCTGTCTGGTCGCCCTAGCCTACAGCTGCACTAATTCTGCACACATTTCACCCCATGCTTAACCTTACTCCTGTGAGCAATCCCACTGCTTTGGGAGGTTCTTGTCTTGAATGGAGTCCCACAATCTTGTGAGCAGAGTTCAGCACATGCATAAATGTTTGCAGGATTGGGGCCAGGGATTTGTTCTTCTCACATTACTATTTGTGCTACAGTAGCCTCTAGAGTCTAAGATCAGGGCCCCATTGTGCCGGGCACTGTACATGTAGAGCAAGATACCATTTGTCCTGAAGAATTTGCAATCTCTAAAGAGACCAGACACAGGATGAGAGGGGAAAAGAGGCAGAGAGAGCAGGGGAGTGACTTGCCCAAAGACACTCAACAGGCCAATGGCACAGCTGGGAATAGATGCCATGTCTCCTGGTGCCCACTCCCGTGCTCTATCTGCTGTTTCCCCAGAACAAATCTGTCCCTG